CACACGCCATTAGTTCGTATCTCCATCAGGCCATTAAAGTTATAATTCATTTTATTTCCAGAACACATCCGTGTGAAATATTAACTTCTACATTGTGTATAATGCTGTATTATCCCACCTTCATGAATACTAAGCGTCCGGTCGGACTTACCACTCCTCCCTTTTATTAAAACCGATTTTTTAAACGCGAAGCCGGCCCTGAACGTATCGTAATTAACGCGCGACCGGTAAAGGAGTCAAAACGCGCGCACAGCGTCGTTGGTTAAGTGACTGGGACATTAAAAAGTTAGGCGGCCGTGGCAAGGCTAATGGAAAGATGCGAACAGGAGACGGGCATTAGAATTAACACCGCAGAAATGATTATTTAGTGCACGCCGAGAGATGTCATCGTCGAGTGTACACTCAGCGAGAAAAGTCACTCACAAAACGAGAAACACGCCCTAGTCACGTGAGACGCGCGATCGGCGAGCGATCAGTCACGTGAACCAATCACCAGTCTCGAGAGCCAATCCCCACCCACTTTCAATCGCTTCCCACCGCTTGAAACGCTTCGCAATCGCTCGATTTATGTCTCCGAGTGTAAAACAGTCAGGTTCGAGCCGTCTAAGACCTGAAATGAAAAGGTTGTTCTCTAAAAGGGTTGAGGCACATATCGGTGGTTAGATAGCACTCTTGGGGTTCCACATATCGATGTGGGGGTGCGAAAAAGTGACTTTTAATTCGCCTCGGACGTCGTAAAGCTTAATGCAAAAATTAATTCTTGGCGAAAAAGTGAACCATTCGTGACGTCTTTGGTAGTAAAGTGAGCCGCTACTAAAACACCTGAGGAATTCATTTGATGTACGACACAAGCGCTGTAAAAAGTCCGTCCTAATGAAAAATTCGGTGGGCAATCACACGCCCGCGTCGAAGTATTAAAATCCTCCCCAACTTTTATTGGCCTATTTTTATGGCGCAAACTTCAGATTGGCCTTCATTAAATGTTTGTTTAACGCCTTTTGTTGGATTGAGTTGAATTTTTGATAACTTGCGGTTAACGGCAGGTCGAACGCACCAACAATATTTTTTTCTTCCCCCTTGTCTCTCGGATGCAGTTTTCGAAGACGAAATGAAATAACGCCGCATAAATACGCTAGAAATTACGCAAAGTTTAAATTGTCTCCGGAATATATCACAAGGGCTATAATACACTGTGTCGTTTCTATGACACTGCTAATGGCTCTTTGAAAATTTAGATACAGGTGTTGCTATATACTTTAAAATTACGTCGACACTTTCCGACAACTTTATTAAAAGCGGCATCGTGTTCCAACGTGAGCACGAGATTTCTGCCATTTTTTAATGAAAAATCGAGCAAAAATCACATTTGAACATTGTTGGGCCCACAAACGCTTTTATAGCCTAAGAGGTAGTGAATTTTTTTAAACAAATTTTCCTGGTTAGCCTAATTTTTTCTTCACACATTTTTTAATTCTTCATTACCAAAAAAACACACTAACCGAATCAAACGGGTTCCCACGGCATTTTTTAAATCTTTATCTAAAGACCCTAGAGTTATAAAAGTCTTCAACATTTTAATATAATAATACAAAGGCAAACATGTAAGACAATATGACTGAAAAAATACGCAATGTGTATTTTGAGCAATAATTTTTGAAATAAAAACAGATAAACTGTACAGTGATGTGGATTACAAACGAGAATCTAAATATTTTAAACCGAAAAACTCGAGGTGAGACCAAAAACATATAACGTATTCTACATTTCTAGAGGTCTTAAAGACTCAAAAAAGTGCATAAAATGTTATTGGGCCAAATTTTAAAAAATTCGAATTTTTTGAATTCCCGAAGGTGAGCGGTAGTAAAATCGTAAAATAGTCACTTTACCTTAAGTCGTAAAAACGCTTCTAGACGTAAAATTACGCGTTGAACATAATGCAACAAGTTAAAATTCTCTACAATGCATAATTTTTGAGATATTGAGTAATAAAATTATGAATAAGACCAGAAACATTTTGACCAAAAAATCAAAAATCAAACATTAGAAAACTTTTTTTTTATTTTGTAAATTGCGAAAAAACTGTATCTCAATGATTGGATATTTTGACCTAAATATATGTAAAATGTTCCGGGGAATCGATTGGCGTCAAGAAAACTGCAAAATTCGTAATAGTTTTGAAGTTATAGACGTATTTAAATTTTTGATATTTCTGACTTTATCACAAATTTTCTCGACAACTATTTATCGTAGAACACTGATTTTTTTGTATAGGATAAAAAATTAAATTTTCTTTCCAACGGTATCAAATATAAGAACTTATTTCCAATAAGTCCGGAGTTATTGGCATTAGACCGCTCCGCGTACCGAAAATCGGCCAACATTTCGACAAAAATCGAAAAAATTAAAAACTTCAAAATTGTCCATTTGCACTCTTGGATGTTCAAAAGACTTAATAAAGCACAAAAACATTGTAAAAATGCGAAAAATAAATTTTTGAAAAATTTTGTGTAAAATATATTGAAGGAAAACGTTGAAATTATTGGCGGCGGTGGTGGCTCAGCGGCATAAGGTGCATTTGTAGAGATCTTAAGGACTCAAAAAAAACCCGTTTATTGCCAATTTTATTTCAGAAACCTAGACCTTCCTTATGAAAACATTTTTTTGCAACTCCAAAATTATTAAGTTTCAAACTAGCTAAAATATATTTCTGTTCTCAAATATATTAGTAGCTTATATTTGCCTTTTCATATTGCACTTCGCTTGGCAAACCCGTCGAACATCTAGTGAAAGTAAAGAATTTTTACCAAGTTTTAGATGTTTTTTATATTAGTATCGGAAGTAATTATTCGCGGGGATATAAGGTGGTATAAAAGGGATGAGCACCTTGAAGCAGACGGCGGTGGCATCCGCACTCGCACAACTTCCCAAACTGCAATTAGGAGCAAACGTTTAGTTACAATAAATTATAAAATATTTCTATACGAGGGAACTTTAAATAATGCCACTTTGGAAGCGCGCGGATAGGCCACGTAATGTATTCCCAACAAACTTCGCTAATATAACACCGGATTAACAGCAGTACCAAATATATACAGTGCCTCAACAATTTCGCTAATCTGCATAATAGTCACAATAAAACACACTCGAAGCGTCGTCACCCTTTGGTAACGTTCGCGCCATCAATACGACCCTTGAATGTTTACGAGAGAATTGATCGAATAGCAACGAGATCAAAGCATTTGAGAACCGCTGGTCCACAAGAAACGATAAAGAGAGACACCTAATCATGTTAAAAAAGCCATAACGTACAGCTGTTATTATGTAAATAACGGTGCGTCGTATTATATGTCAAAGTTTTTGATTAGTTATCATTCGAGCCGTCGACGCTTTTAAATTTATGCTAATTTCGTTTTTAATTTTTCACAGTAACGACTCCGTTCGGGAATTTCACTTTTTAACGGCGTCGTTAAGCCGAACCTGAATTATTACGACTCTAATCGACAACAAATATTTCTAATTTATTTTGAGTGCAGTTTGCATCGTCCTGTCCCACACCTATGCAATTTAAAGTGCAT